GGTTCAAGCAATTCTGCTTCAGCCTCCCGAGTAGCCGGGACGCACCACCACACTCAGCTAATTTTTCTATTTTTAGCAGGTGTTTTGTATTTAATTGCAGGTGTCATCATGTTGGCCAGGCTAGTCATGAACTCCTGACCTCAAACGATCCACCTGCCTCGGCCTCCCAAAGTACTGGGATTACAGGCATGAGCCAGTGCGCCTGGCCTGTGTCCTTTGTGTCTGGTTTATTTCACTTAGCATAACATTCTCAAAGTTCATCCATGTTGCAGTGTATGTCAGAATTTCCCTCCTTGCTAAGGCTGAATAATATTCCATTGTGCGTGTGCCCACGTTCTGCTTATCTGTTCGTCCATCGATGGGGACTGGGGTTGCTTCTACCTCCTGGCTACTGTGAATAATGCTGCTGTGGACAACGGAGGTATAAAAATCTCTTTGAGAACCTGCTTTCAATTCTTTTGAGTATCTCCCCACAAGTGGAATTGTGGGACCATGTAATCCCATGTTTAATTTTTTGAGGAGCCACCATCCTGTTCTTACAGCAGCTGTACCATTTGACATTCCACCTACGTTTATGTTGCATTCATCGCACAAGGATTACAGCTTCTCAACATCCTTGCCAATCCCTGCTAAGTGTTCTTGAGAAAGTAGCAGAAGCCAGAAGAGTCCAAAGCTGTGGCTAAAGGAGCCTCCAAATTTCATGGAATGTGAGCACCAGAGGGGTCCTGCTCCGAATCTTGACTAGTCTAGAGTTTAGAGCTCCCTACTCCAACTCTTGAGTTATGGATGGAGAAGCTAAGGTCAGGTTATCTACCCACGAGTCCCACTGGTTGCAGGCAGAGCTGAAACCAGAAGCCAGGATGGATGGTGACTAGGCCAGTGCCCTGCTCCTAGCACACATTTCTTAGGAACTCCTCCTACTCCCGACTCAGGCTGCAGACTACTTCGCCCCATTTCCCTGACACTCTGAAGCTTGAAGGGGGAAAGAGAATGCTTTAAACCTCCAACCAGTGAGCCCCAGTGGTGAGACCAGCCTTCCACATCTGGAACTTTCCCCTGAGGATCGAGCTAGGGCTGGGAGAAAGTCGCTCTGCTCCCCAGTTTGGGTGACCACCCAATTGGGAGTAGCCAGTGACTTGCTGTGGCTCTCACTTTATCATCCCTTCCTCCTCTTCTCCCTCTAGGATGATCCACTCACAAATCTGAATACAGCTTTTGATGTGGCAGAGAAGTACCTGGACATCCCCAAGATGCTGGATGCCGAAGGTGAAAGGCGCTTTCCTTCTGTGTATCTTGCCCATCCCCCCGTCACTCAGCGGCTAAGAAGGGGTGGACCCCAACAGTCCAGGGCTGGACAGGAGCAGGGCCTGGTCTTCTGGGACTGCATTTGAGGAGCATGGGGATCACAGCCTCTTGGGGATTCTTCCATTGTTCCCTGAGCTTTGGAGGGAGAGGTGTTAGCTGATTCTGCAAAGGGCTTAGGGGCTGTTCTTGCATCGATTGCCTGAGGATGGTTCTCATCTTTCCCTTGGAGTCAGGGTAGCAGGTGCTGGGGTGCGGGAAAGTGTGCCCTTGTTGTCCGACACAGTTTGGGATGGGAAGTTTCTCTTGCTGAGAGGTGCACTGTCCTAACTCTCTGAGCCTTGGGTGGTCTCTGGGACGGCTGAGCTTAGCATCTCCTTTATGCCCCAGCTATGACTGGGGCTGACTGGGCATGGTGTTTGCTCTCATCTGTAACCCTGGCTTCCTTCTAGCATCTTCTGAGGAGGGTGCTAGAGAACTATGGCTTGGACTTTCTCAGTGGTGGAAGTGTCCAGTTCTGACCTTGCTGGGCAGATCCCAGCCAGAGGAAGTGGCTCCATGTGGGGTAGGGAAGGAAGGAGGGGGCCCAAGTTGAGTGTTGACTTTTCTGTTCCTCACCAAGGCCTTGGTGTCCCAAATGCTGCTAACCAGGACACCTGGATGGGGACAGGTTCAGGGTTTGACACTAGAACATCCTTACCAAAGATTGGGTCTGGGGCTGGAAACCCAGCTCTTCCTGGCCGCTGACCCCGCCATTGCCCCTCTCCCTATGCAGAGCATCTCGGATGGGGTGAGCAGGGGCTATAGGGGGAAGGGAGGCGTCTGGGAGCATAGGGGTCTGTGGGTTTATGAAGCCAGGGCTGGCAGCTCCAGGCTGGGGTCAGACTGGGTCTTCTTGTCCCATCTCTGTGCTTGCCCCTTGGGAGGAGCCTGACTCACCATGGCCGCTTCCCTGTGTGCTCTCCTTGGCCCCACCTGCTCAGTGCTGAGGGACTAGAAAAGGGTTATGGGGACAGGAAAAGACCACGGTGGGGTCCAGACTGCTCCCTGCCCTTCTGCCCCATCAGTAGTGCTTTTTTTTTTTTTTTTTTTTTTGAGACGGGGTCTCCCTGTATCACCCAGGCTGCAGTGCTGTGGTGTGATCTCAGCTCACTGCAACCTCCGCCTCCCAGGTTCAAGCGATTCTCCTGCCTCAGCCTCCCGAGTAGCTGGGATTACAGGCACCCACCAACGGCTAATTTTTATATTTTTAGTAGAGACGGGGTTTCACCAAGTTGGCCAGGCTGGTCTCGAACTTCTGGCCTCAAGTGATCTGCCTGCCTTGGCCTCCCAAAGCCACCAGTAGCTTTTAAAATTTCAAAAATATCATGAGGAAAATTTTCAAACACGTAAAAACCCAGGCAAAAGCAGAAAGAATAGCATGATGACCTTTCCTATTTCCATCATCCAGATAGAATGGCTACTGAGGTCTTGCCACACTTTGTTTTTTTCTTATTTCTTTGTTGAAGTATCTTAAAGCAATTCTGAGATATCACATCATTTTACTACTGCATGCTTCTGAATACATACCTTAAAAATAGAGTTATTTTCTTAGGCAATGATGAAGTTTTCACATTTAGCAAATTGATAATTCCATTTGATACCCAGTTCATAATGAAATTTCCATAATTACCTATGACATTTCTTTGAGTGTTGGTTTGTTTTAATCAGAATCCGAACAAGGTCCATACTGGCATTCGGTTGTGTTTCTGACAGCTTTTCCCATCTCTAGGACTTCTCTCCTCCCTTTGACCCCTTTTATTCCTGCCATTGAACTTGTTGCAGAAATGGGGCCACTGTCCTGTAGCAAGTTCCTTATCCTGGGTTTGTCTGCCTCTTTGGGGCTTCATTTCACGTGTTCCTCTACTTACATTCCCATAAGCGCAAGTTGACGCCAGAGGCTGGTTAGATTCGGGCTCCACATTTTGGCAAGAAGACTTGGTGGTATTGTGAGCTTCTTTCTGCATCACATCGGGGGTGTATGGTGTTCTTGGAACCAGCTGGCTTTAACTGCGGATTTTTCTTGACAGACATCGTTGGAACTGCCCGACCGGATGAGAAAGCCATCATGACTTACGTGTCTAGCTTCTACCACGCCTTCTCTGGAGCCCAGAAGGTACCCAGGGCCCCCTGCTCCTTCCATGCCCAGCACACCTCCTGCTGGACCCCAAACCATGTCCTCCTGCCCGCCTCCACCTCTCCTGGTGACAGGTATCTGGATGGTCTGGTCTCTCAGACAGAGGCAGCCCCTGGTTCTGAAGTGGCGTGTTGTTCTTACCTAGCTCCTCTCCCACCCCACACCTCTCTCTCTCATCTTCTACTGTTAACAAGAAAATTGGGCAGCACCCCACTTTCTGGGACCCAGATGACTGGCTTAAGCAGGAAGGGCTGTGTGCATGAGGCAGCCCGGGAGGTTCTGGAAGGCTGGAAGGTGAACAGGAGCAGCCCTTCCATGCCCAGGTCTGTTGAAGCCACTGGCTTGACAGAGCAGCTGGAGTTCCCTTAGAAGGGCAGTGCTGGGAGGCAACTCCAGTCTTCACTTACCCACTTGGCAAAGGCATCATAAAGCCCCACCTTTGTCCTGCTCATGAGCATGACTTAGCAGATCTGTCCTCAGCCCCTTTGGGCTCTAGTGCCTTCTCCTGTATCCTGCCTGGGACTCCCGTGCGGCCATGCTGCACTCTGTGTTCTCAGACATAAGCAGAACCTCTGGGAGGAATGGAGAGGGGGTGGGCAGCTGTGAGCCCCTTCAAGTGTCCTGGCCCAGTTTTGCTCTGGGAGGCCTGAGGTTAAAGTTCAGTTGTGCAGGTTCCACACCACACAGGGGTACCACGACTAAAGGGTACTGTTCATGCTGCGGACATTGAAGATTTGGAGGTTTTCATCACCAGGCTTAGGCAGCACACACCCCCTCCCCCAGTCCTCCCTGGTAGGCAGGACCCTAGAGGAAGCACAACATCACCATGTCCACAGAACCTTCATGTCTCATGCAGATCTCCCACCCTCCACATGGCATCTGAGTGACCATCTGAAAATGCATGATGAGGCCGGGCGCGGTGGCTCACGCCTGTAATCCCAGCACTTTGGGAGGCCGAGGTGGGTGGATCACTTGAGGCCAGGAGTTCGAGACCAGCCTGGCCAACATGGTGAAACTCCTTCTCTACTAAAAATACAAAAAATTAGCCAGGTGTGGTGGCGTGCGCCTGTAATCCCAGCTTTTCAGGAGGCTGAGGCCGGAGAATCGCTTGAACCCGAGAGGCGGAGGTTGCAGTGAGCCAAGATTGTGTCACTGCACTCCAGCCTGGGTGACAGAGTGAGACTCTGTCTCAAAAAACAAAACAAAACAAAACAAAACAAAAAAGCAACCACAAAACAAAAAAATGCATGATGGGAGCCCCCGCCCTCTCCCACCTCTCCTGTGCCGTCCCTGCCTCAGACTCTGCTCACCTCCCACCCACTCCCTCCCCTGCGGTCTCATTTTTTCTCTTTCTGCTCATTCCCTCCTTTTCTGTCTGTCCGTCTGTCTTGTGTCCTCTTTCCGTCCACCATGGCTGTTTGGGTTTATTCTGTGCTGCTACCGCTGCCTACTTTCTCCTCTCAACCTCTTCTCCTTCTCTGTGCAGATGTGTAGGCACGCTAAGGCCGGATGGGAAGGCCGTGTGACCTAATGTTTCATGTCACGGCCACGCCTTCTCGGGTGCGCAGAAGGTGAGCTCTCCCTCGGCCTCCTCCACTCTCCCCTCTTGCCCATCTCTTCCGTCCTCCCTGGACACTCCAGCAGCAGGCCCTGGGATGGAAGGAGGGACTAGAGAAGCCCCTCCTTCTCTTGCAGAGGGACAGTACTCTGAACTTTGGCCAGGACACTTGAAGATGCCAGAGAACCCCAGCCTCTGAATGACCTCCTGTGTCTCTGTCCCTATGCCATGGGCATAGCGGATACCACAAGCGAGAAAGAAGCTTGTGGTCTCAGCTTCTTCCCTGCAGCCCGCATCAAGAGCCCTTATCCCAGGCAGCACGGCTCTTGGCAGTGCTTGCTATTTCCTTAAACATCCAGGACCTCTTCCCTCTTTCTCTCCCTCCTTCCTGCTTGAGCAAGGCCATCCTCGCAAATTTAGCAGCAGCCAGAGCAGGGAGAGGTCTTCCTGCCTTCTCCAGGGAGTCCAGACCAGAGCCCTGCCTGATGCTTCTCAACCAGGCTGCCATGGACAGTTGTGCAGGTTGCAGACTACCCACGAGTGCCATGTGTGTGCAGTGGATGACGGAGATTTGAATGTTGATTACTAAAGTGATCCTACAGATGGCGGTGAAAATGTCTTCTAACAAAATCAGTAGGACATTTTCCCAGTAGAAGTGCCCTTGGGGAAGAGGTGAAAAATGATCCAGAGACACCATATGGGCTGGCAGCAGCCCTGTTCCCTGCCTGGTTGGGCGTCCAAGACCCTCCTGAACTTCCTTCCAGGGCTCACTGGTGCGGACCAGAGACAGGAGAGCAGCCCCCTCTGGAGGCTCCTTCTCATAGGTGTCCCCCCAGCCTGCCCAGCCCCTCTCAGCCTCTCCTCTGGCCTTCCTTCTGCTTCCTCTTTGTCCTTCTCACCTCTCCTGCTGCTGTTCCTGTGCCCCCTCCCTTTGCCCCTCGTGGCCAGGGTGTGAGCAGCTTCTCTCCCTTGCCTTGATTGGCCTCCTGGCCTGATAGCCGCAGGTGTGCACCTGCCCGTGTCCATGGTCAGGCTGAGCTCTCTGCTATGGTCTTTTCCCCTCCTCCCAAAGCTCCTTCCCGCTCTTCCAGTCTCTCCCCTTCTCCTTCAGGGGTCTGTCCTGGGCTTCATGCCCATCGACGCTGGCCTTCCCTGCCTCTGAAGCCTTCACTGTGTCCTGGCTGGTGACAAAACTTGGAAGGGAGTGTGAGATGCGTGTGGGTGTAGGGGGTATGAAGTGGGTGTGTGTGGTGTGTATGGGTATGCGGGGTTCTGAGGAGTGTGTGGTTTGCAATATGTGTGGTGTGAGGGATGTGGTGGATGAGATATGGGGTGTGTGTGTATGGTATGGATGTGTGTGTGGTATGTGTATGGGGGTGTGGTGTGTGAGGTGTGTGTGGTGTGTGTATGGGGGGTGTGGAGTGTGTGTAAGGTGTATGTCTGGGGGGTGTGGGGAATGTAGTGTGGAAGGGTGTGGTGTGTGAGGTGTGTGTGTATGAGGGGTGTATGGGGTGTGGGGACTGTGGTGTGTGAGGTGTGTGTGTATGAGGCGTGTATGGGGTGTAGGGACTGTGGTGTGTGAGGTGTGTGTGTATGAGGCGTGTATGGGGTGTAGGGATTGTGGTGTGTGAGGTGTGTGTGTATGAAGGTGTATGGGGTGTGGGGATTGTGGTGTGTGAGGTGTGTTTGTATGAAGGTGTATGGGGTGTGGGGACTGTGGTGTGTGAGGTGTGTGTGTATGAAGGTGTATGGGGTGTGGGGACTGTGGTGTGTGAGGTGTGTGTGTATGAGGGTGTATGGGGTATGGGGACTGTGGTGTGTGAGGTGTGCGTGTATGAAGGTGTATGGGGTGTGGGGACTGTGGTGTGTGTGGTGTGTAGGAGGTGTGAGGGATGTGGTGTGCTGTGGGTGTGAGGTAGGGTGTGAGGTGTGTATGTGGTGTAGGTGTGGTGTGTGTGATGTGGAGGGGTGTGGTATGCTGTGGGTGTGAGGTGTACGGTGTGAGGTGTGTGTGGTGTGGAGGAATGTGGTATGCTGTGGGTGTGAGGTGTAGGGTGTGAGGTGTGTGTGGTGTGGAGGGGTGTGGTGTGCTGTGGGTGTGAGGTATGTGTGTGGTGTGAGGTGTAGTATGTGTGGCATGTGTGTGGAGTGAAGGGGAGGGCTGTGGTGTGTGTGAGGGGTGTGTGGTATGGAGGAATGTGGTGTGCTGTGGGTGTGAGGTGTAGGGTGTGTGGTGTGGAGGGGTGTGGTGTGCTGTGGGTGTGAGGTGTAGGGTGTGAGGTGTGGGTGTGGTGTGGGTGTGAGGTGTGTGGTGTGTGGTGTGTGTGTGTGGAGTGAAGGGGAGTGCTGTGGGTGTGGCACGTGTGAGGGGTGTGTGGTGTGGAGGAATGTGGTGTGCTGTGGGTGTGAGGTGTAGGGTGTGTGGTGTGGAGGGGTGTGGTGTGCTGTGGGTGTGTGGTGTGTGAGGTGTGTGTGTATGAGGGTGTATGGGGTATGGGGACTGTGGTGTGTGAGGTGTGCGTGTATGAAGGTGTATGGGGTGTGGGGACTGTGGTGTGTGTGGTGTGTAGGAGGTGTGAGGGATGTGGTGTGCTGTGGGTGTGAGGTAGGGTGTGAGGTGTGTATGTGGTGTAGGTGTGGTGTGTGTGATGTGGAGGGGTGTGGTATGCTGTGGGTGTGAGGTGTACGGTGTGAGGTGTGTGTGGTGTGGAGGAATGTGGTATGCTGTGGGTGTGAGGTGTAGGGTGTGAGGTGTGTGTGGTGTGGAGGGGTGTGGTGTGCTGTGGGTGTGAGGTATGTGTGTGGTGTGAGGTGTAGTATGTGTGGCATGTGTGTGGAGTGAAGGGGAGGGCTGTGGTGTGTGTGAGGGGTGTGTGGTGTGGAGGGGTGTGGTGTGCTGTGGGTGTGAGGTGTAGGGTGTGTGGTGTGGAGGGGTGTGGTGTGCTGTGGGTGTGAGGTGTAGGGTAAGGTGTGGGTGTGGTGTGGGTGTGATGTGTGTGTGTGGTGTGAGGTGTGGCGTGTGTGGTGTGTGTGTGTGGAGTGAAGGGGAGTGCTGTGGGTGTGGTGTGTGTGAGGGGTGTGTGGTGTGGGTGGTATGTGGGTAACAGCCTGCTCCCACTCCCAAATCTCATGCCACCTCCCCATGCCCCCCTCCCTTTCACTCATCCCTGTTGCAACCATTTCACGCTGCTTTTATCCACACCTGAGGGCAAGGTCACAGCTGGGTTGGTGGTGGTGGTGGTTGTCCTCTCATGTCCTGGTCAGGGGTCTGACCCAGAGTTGCCCCCACCACGTCTAAGGCGACTGCTTCGAGCTGAGCAGGCAGGGGAGGGGAACCCCACCTTGCCATGTGTGGTGGGGCTGATGGAGAGGAAGGACTCTTCCTGACTCACACACTCCTGTCTTGTCTGTCTCCGGGCTGGCACCAATGGGGAAAATCTTCCAAAACCCGTGCCCAGTGCCCTCCATCCTCTCCACTGTCTTTCTGTCACCCAAACTTGTACAGTGGAATGAAAAGGCAACAGCGCCTAATGTGTGTGTGCACGTGTGGTGCACGGCTTGTGTGCCTGTACAGGCCCGTGCTGTGTAAGTCTGTGTACTGATTTCCCTCATTAGATGAGGACCAACTGCTGTTTGACAGGTGGGTTTTGGTTCTAATTCTTTCTCTGCTTCCCTCTCCCCTCCTTTTCCCTTACAGGGACTTAGAATGGGTGGAGAGCATTAAGATTTTGTTGATGTAGCTCGTGTTTTAGAGTTCATGGTCTGCTGTTTCTGAGAAAGAACACTTGAAGGCATGCACTCAATCTGAAAGAAATTCATGAGCCATCTGGGAAAACCCTAAAAAAAAAGAGCCGGCAGTGGCTGCAGTCTGACCTGTGCCTTGCTCTGCCCCAGATCTGAGCAGGGCAGGTACAGTCACAGGACTGCCCGCCACCAAGGTTGTCTTGAGTAGCAGAAACTTGAACATGAGGGTCTGTACTGGGAAGGCTTAGCAAGGCCTTGGGAAGGGGCAGGCAGTGTTGTGGAGGGAGGTGACCACAGCTTGTGCAAGAAGCTTCGGGGTGTGCAGGCGGAGCCTGCGGCAGGAGAGGAAGCTGGCAAGGTGTGGGCTGCCTGAGGAAAGGGGCCAGTTCCCCTCTGCCTGGTCACCCACCCTGGCCCACTCACCACAAGGAAGCTCGGATGCCTGGTCTGAGATCCCTGCTGATCTGGAGCTCTCTTAGCAGGAACCCTGGGCTTGGTGGCTGACTCAGGACAGAGGGAAAGACTGGCAGTGGACAGCTGTGGGAGGAAGAAAAAAGCAGGTCCAGCTAGATTTGGGAACGTTTTGGCTAAAGATGACATAGATGAGATCCTCGTAGCATTCATGTGAATCTGTGGGTTGTGGGTGGCGGAGCCACAGCACATCATCTGGCCATGTTTGGGTGTTTTGATGTCACCTTGAAGACAGTTCCTCTCTAGACTGTGCCTGTATCAGGCAATCAGATGCTGACTGTTAGGGTAGCAGTTTGGCTTGGGATAGCTAAGTACTCGGGGATAATAATAGTTCATATCTTTTAAAAAATAACTCGAATATACAACAAAATGTATTGTATGTTAAGTTGTATAATAGCACAGCATAAAGTAGGCCACAAAAAAACATGAAAATTCGGGTTGGGCGCATTGGCTCACACCTGTAATCCCAGCACTTTGGGAGTTGAGGCTGGTGGATCACCTGAGGTCAGGAATTTGAGACCAGCTTGGCCAACACGGCGAAACCCCATCTCTACTGAAAATACAGAAATTAACCAGATCTGGTGGCACGCACCTGTAATCCCAGCTACTCAAGAGGCTGAGGCAGGAGAATGGCTTGAACCCTGGAGGCGGAGGTTGCAGTGAGCCAAGATTGTGCCATCGCGCTCCAGCCTGGGTGACAGAGCAAGACTCTGTCTCAAAAAACAAACAAAATAAAACAAACCAAAACGACCATGAAAATACCAACTAAGGGAAAGGAAACACAGATTTCTAGTAGTCTTTTCCTTTGGCACTTGGAAGCAATATTCTTTTCCAGAGAATATTTTCTGAACCCATCAATTATCTGTTGCATCTGTTACATTGTCTCATGTCAGGGCGCCTGGTTCTTCTTGCTGGGGTCCAGAGAGGCCCATCTCCTCTTCAGGAATAGCCTGAAGCCAGGGCTCTCCCCGGGTTCTCTTCTGAAGTTGCTTCTGAAGCTGCTTCAGTTCCTGAAGTTCTCAGGGAAGGAATCTTTCCTCCCCTAGAACAAATCTCTCCTTTGAACTTCTGGACTAAAGCGTCTTTGAGATTCTTTACGTACTTGGTGGTTCTGGGTGCCTCTCTCCTAGATCCCTGAGAGTTCATGGGGTTCTTGTAGCCATGAGAGGAAAACGCTAGAAAACCAGGAATTTGAGGTGATGGGGAAGGCCTGTCATCCCTAACAGGCTTTTCTTCTGCTCCCGGGACCATGTCCTGTGGGCCTGACTAAGACTGGCCTTCCCAGCTGACCTCATCTTACTTCTCAGACTGAGGCTGGTGGGTGATGAAGCTGCTTTCATCAAGGGACCACTGTGGAAGCAGGTCCAACTCACCACCCAGTGGGCTTCTCTGGGGTGCAGCCTGCCTGCTGGGGGAGTCAGGCTGCGAGAGAAAGGGAAAGGATGAGGTTCTGAGGATTCTGCCGTGGTTTTTGTTTTTTTTTTTTTTAGAAAAATCGAATCTGGACTTCAGGAACCTGCTTTCTAGAGGTGCTGTAGGAGCTGGGCTGTCCCTCAAGGGAGCCCTGCTGGAGTCTGCAGGCTGGCCTGCCATACAGAGAGCGCTCTCATGCCTCCCGTGGTACTTGTGTGTTATTTCTGAAGGCTGATTCACAGGTTATAATGGATGGTATTCTCAGTCAGTCTCCTTCCGGAGAGGCCAGCCTGGGAGCAGGTGGCTGAGACTTGGGCTTGGGAACGCGGTTGGATCTTTGTGGAAAGTCCCCAGGAGGCCCACCCGGAATCTCCCCCAGACTTCATCCAGAAGGGAGCGCTTCTGACCCTGACCCTGACCCTGGAGTAGTCAGCAGGCTCTTAGGGATGGGCGAGGCTCTTGCGATCCCACAGGACACATGTAAAATCCCATGAATGCAGACCTCGGTCCACCCGTTTGATAAACTGGCACACATCAGAGTTTATGACCCTTGAGCCGATGGATCAGGAGAGTAACCAAGTGAAGGTGGCTTTATCCAAGAAAATCACAGCTACAATTGCTTCGTGCCAGTGATGAGTAGCTGCCAAGGAGTTTCAGCTGTTTGAGTGGCACATCTCTGGCATAGTCTGCAGGGGTGGCACATCCTCACCAAAACATCAGCCTGGAGGAGGACACACGGGTCTCTCCACAGCCCCCTGCCCCAGCCTTCAAGGGAAGTAGTCTGGTGCTTCCAGCAAGTTGCTCCCCAGCCAGCCCCATGAGGCTGCTGGCCTGGTTCCCATGGCCCCGCTTGCTTTCTGGGGCTCCACGTCTCCTGGGCAGGCTTGAGGAAAAGCATTTCCGTCCTCGTTGCTTCTTGGGATTCCCCATGGGTGCTTGTTGGTTCTCGAGAGAAATGGCGATCAGTCAGGAGTTGTGGATGAGAAGCAGCCATGGCATCTCCAGGATAGGGTTGAGTTGGGGGTAGGGGGTGAGGGCCTAAGGATGTGACTCCCTGTCTCAGTTTCTTGAGGCCCAGGACTCAAAGTCCCCACCTCAGGGGACTCTTAGACCACCCTCTGGCCACTCCCACCTTCTCCTTATTGCTTCTCCCAACCCACTCTGACACCTTACTCTGCAGGGCGTGCCTGCCTTGACCTCCCTGACTGTTTCTGACAGGGCCTTTAGGATGATCTCATTTTGCCCCTTACCCCCTGCCCCACACACCCCCGCACAGTCATCCACAAAGCACATGATTTGGTGGGTGGATGTCTTATTCGAGAAGTTCTTCAAGGAAAAAACATTTCCATCTTCCATCTTAGTCATTCCTTCCAATTCTAAGCACACTCATTCTCAGGAAGTTCTTCCTTACGACCAGCCTCAGTTCATCTTGCTACAGTTGAAACCTGTTTTGTTGTGTTCATCAACCAGATGTGAGGTCCTGTCTTTCAACCCGTTAATCCAGGGATCATTTTTCATCTGCAGGACACCCTTCTCCAGGGTCCCAGGAGATACTAGCTTCTCCCACCCCCAGGCTGTCTTCCTTTCTACCCTCTGGCCCCCAAAAGGCTTTGAGTTCACTTCTCCCTTGGCGTAAGGTTGGAATGTATGCAAGAACACCGCTGGATTTTAAAACCACCTGTTTGAAGTGGACTCAGGAATGCTGGGTCCCTGCTGGTGTTAGGGGTACAGTAGCCCCCACAGCTGCAGAAGGCGCTCTCCCACTAAGGTTTCTTGGTCTTTGCCTGGGTTGCCATTCAGTCCCTTTCCCTTCGCTTCCCTTTGCTGCTGAGGCCTGTCTTGGGTCCCTGCTAGCCCGGCACACAGCGCATGATGTGTGCTTAGCTGTCCCAGAGGGGCCTGCGCTGGGCTTGCTGGGCATTGTGTCCATACTTGGTTGATCTGGAAGTCTGGACTTGGGTGCAGTAGAGGGGTCCCTCAGTTTTCTCTAAAGTGCTTCAGGCTTTGGGCCAAGAGTCTTGGGAGATTCTGCAGGGATCCCAAGAGGTCCCACGATTTCTCAGTCAGCACTTTATCCCAGGACTCCCAGATTTGAATTCCCACATCTCTAAGATCCTGGAAAATCCAGCCAGAGGCCCTAAGCCTTGGAATTCCAGTGCCTCCACTTGGAATTCCAGGATGGGCATGAATTTTCTCACTTCTCCGCCTGACCTGAGCATTTTGATTGTATCAGTCATTGGATTAGTTTCTTCCCAACCTGCAGGTTGGGCCTTAAACTCAGGCTGTTCTCCAGGGGCCCAGTTCAGCCACCAAGACCTTTGTCCAGGCTCACCTGACCCATGGGACCTGGCCATGGGCTGGCAAGGAGGATGGTAAGGAGAGAGGAGGAATGTGGCCTCACAGCCTTCTTAACCCCCTTCCAATCACAGGGAGCTGCAGGGATGGGAGGGGCTTTGTCAGCACAGGTGTGTACCAGGTGCCCCTGCTGCTGGGGCTGGCTGGTCGTGACTCTCTCTGTCTTGTTGCCAGGCGGAGACAGCAGCCAATCGCATCTGCAAGGTGTTGGCCGTCAACCAGGAGAACGAGCAGCTTATGGAAGACTACGAGAAGCTGGCCAGTGATGTGGGTACCCCCTGGGTTCACCTGGCCTGTCTCTAGCAAGAGTCAGTCCCCTAGAACGTGTACCTCCAAATCTTTCCTTGGAGCATAGTCCCAGGCTGGTATAGTCTCTGATCCCAATATAGCTAGTCCAGGGCAGCCTGAGCTCTGTTGTGGCTCTCCCAGAAAGTAGTGAGGTGGGGGCAGAGGCCGGTCCCTGAGTCATCATGAGCCTAGGATATCCCTTTGCCTCTCAGGGTCTTGTTTTTTTCACTTGTCAAGTGAGAGTTGAGCCAGGGGATGTCAGAGCCCTTTCCAGCCTAGTGTACTTTTAGTCTGTGAGTTTTTCTTTAATGAGAGAAGGAGCGCATCTGGTTGTAAGAGGGTGAGGGTAGGGCTTTTGGTAAATTGGTGCTGGCTCAGGCTAGCATAGCAGCTACCAAACATAGCGGCTGTCCCCTACTTTTCAGGGGACAGGATCACGCAGTGCTGGGTTTCCTGTTCTGCCATTGGCTACATTTGGGTTAAGCCTCCTTTTCTTGAAAGAATTCAGCCCTTTGAGCTGCTCAACCCAGGCTCTTGGGGGATCTGCTGCCCAGCATAGTAAGAACCCAGGTTCTGGAGCCCAAGTACCTGGGTTTAAATTTCTGCCATTCCAGCCAGGTCACCTTGCCAAGTTCCAGGACCTGGCAGGGCCTTGGGTGCCTCCTCTGTAACATGCAGATGACCACAGCCCTTAGCTTCGTAGTGTTTCTGTGATGATTCAGATGAGTCCATGTGTGTGATGTGCCTGGCCCCCTGCAGGTGTTCAGTGTATTCCTATTGTCATGTGCACCCCTCCACCTTCTCCACCACCATCACCTTGGCTCAAGGAAAACAGTCCAGGCCGTGCCTGCTTGTGTTCCAGGCCAGCTCTCTGCCCAGAAGCCAGCCTCTTCCCTTTTAAGTCAGAGACCCACATTCTAGATTCCTAGGAAGTCAGATGGCAAGAACTTCTGGAAACAGCTATTAACCCCCTCCATGGTATAGATGAGGAAACTGAGGCCAAGCCAGTTAGAACCTGGTACTAAAACCCAGGTTTCCTTCCTGCCTTTTAGTTGCACTATTTTCACACCAGGTCTATGGGTCTTCCCTTAGCAAAGCAGGGAGGTTGAGTGATGTGACTGTGAGTCGATGTACTCTAGTAGCCAGGCTTCACGAAGCCTGTGGTTCTCAAAGGGAACACCCTGGAAGCTGGCTTCATGGCCTGGGAATGTCGGTAGTTGGGAAGGAGTGTGCTACCAGGAGAGACCCCTTCCCCTTGCGGGAAGGACTGGGAGGAGAGGGAGGCTGGCTCTAGCACACTGCCTCCCCGCGTCCTCACCTCCTGCCCCCACCGCCTTCCTGCCCTAGCTGTTGGAGTGGATCCGCCGCACCATCCCGTGGCTGGAGAACCGGGTGCCCGAGAACACCATGCATGCCATGCAGCAGAAGCTGGAGGACTTCCGGGACTACCGGCGCCTGCACAAGCCGCCCAAGGTGCAGGAGAAGTGCCAGCTGGAGATCAACTTCAACACGCTGCAGACCAAGCTGCGGCTCAGCAACCGGCCCGCCTTCATGCCCTCTGAGGGCAGGATGGTCTCGGTGAGCACTGGGGGTGAGCCTGGGCCGCTAAACTGGACTGCCTCCACCTCTGAGCTGCTCCTAGTCGTGGTCAAAGTCAGCTTTATGGGGGTGGGGATGGGTGTGTTTGCTTCTGCCTACATACACTGTTCCAGAAGTCACATCCCCCTTCCCGTTATCACCCAGGCACAAGCCCGAACTCGGCCATGTGGGGCGGCCCCCTCTGCCCACACCATTCTGGGTCAGGCTTGCCCTTCCAGACCCCTGAGCATCTACTCCAGACCTCCCTCTCGCAAAAAATCACCCCTGTGAACACAATGCTTTTTGATACCCTGAACAAAACAGGGCATAATTGAATCACAGTCAAGTTGATTTCTACTTACATGGAATCTTAAGTAGTTAAAAAATATTATTACTTAAGTAATAGTTTCGTGGGTTTTTTGGGTAGTATACTTCAAAGATACAAATAATCAAAATACAGAACAGAGAAATTACTGAAGATCTTACTACCTAGTATCAACTTTAAAAAAATGATTTTAATCGTTTTGGTTTTTTCATGTAAATATTTGAGGGAATCCTAAAGCGTATGTATTTGAAATTAAACATTTTTCCCCATTTTTGTACTCAAGTGTGCACTGACAGATAACTAAAGCATGTTTTATATAATAAGCTGCTTTAAAAAAAAAAAAAAACTCCAATCTTACATTGTATTCTGACCAGCTTTCCATGTCATAAAATACTCTTCTTTTAGGTTATTTTTGTTATTCATCCCCCTTGACATTGTCCCCACAACTTAGGGAAAAATTGTATAAGCCAGAGAAACACCCAGAAGAAAATAAGAAATTTGCCATGACGGAGCTTTTTGTCCTTAAGTGAAAAGTAATAGGAGCGTCCCGGGCACACGACAGGTCTAGAAGGGGAGGGTGAAAGGCAAACAGCATTGTGGGCAGAGCAACCCAGGGGGTGGTGGAGGGAGAATACATTGCAAGTGTGTCTGCAGTTTGGAAAGTTGCCGTCATTTCGGGGCTCCAAGGCTGAATCAGTGGCTTTTAGGTGGCCAGAGCCACTGCTAGCCTAAGGGTGCTCTATGAGAATTAGACAAAGTACCCTTTCTGGGGGACAGATGTAGCTTGGCCTGGGGACATGTGATGGGGAGGGTGGCTTGCAGGGTGCAACCCCAGCGACTGCCCAGCTGGGTACCCTTGCACAAACTGGAGGCATGGCCCTGTCTGAAGGGGGGTGTGGGTTGGCACTTGGCATCTGTCCTCCCAGAATTCTGGCCGGCTCACCCAGGCCAGGGTCTCTGTAGGCCCCAGGCTACTGCCCAGAGGCCTGAGTCCATGAATGGATCCAGGACCGTGGGGAGGCTGGGCAGCTCCAGTGCCTGCTTGCCTCATTCATTGTTGGTCTGTTTACCTGGGGGGGCCCTTTGCCTTAGCACATGTGTGGCCCCTGTGATTGGATAGAGTCCTGTGGGAAACCAATCCTAGTCAGGGAGAGCCTGGGGCCGTTTCCCCACAGGGCTCTATTCTCAAAGTCCCATAGCTGGGTGACCAATGTAGACGCAGGTCCCACGCCTTGCCCAGGAGGTCTGGCTCCTGGGAGCCCAGAAAATACCAGTGGGAGATGGGAGGTAGGGTGGGGCAGCCTGGCTGGGGTGGATATGGGGCAGAGATAGGGAAGAGGCTCTTCCTGGAAGGCATGGGGCACCTTCAGGGGTCCAGGGGGCCAGGGGACCTGAAGCCTAGGCCCGAGGCAGATCCTGACCCTGTACCTCCCATCCCCACAGGACATCAACAATGCCTGGGGCTGCCTGGAGCAGGTGGAGAAGGGCTATGAGGAGTGGTTGCTGAACGAGATCCGGAGGCTGGAGCGACTGGACCACCTGGCAGAGAAGTTCCGGCAGAAGGCCTCCATCCACGAGGCCTGGACTGACGGTGAGGCCAACCCAGCCTCCTGCCTCCCCAGGGCTTCACTTTCCTACTCTCCAGCCCAGCCGGCAGCCACTACGCTATTCTTTGCTTTTCGTTTGTTTCATTTGGTCTCTTACTAGTTCCATGGCATTAGGCAAGTTCATTAGCCTTCTGGTTGCCTCAGCTTCCTCATCTGTAAAGTGGGGATAATAATAGTACCAACCTCACAGGCTTATAAGAATTTAATCAGTTAATACATAACGAAGTTCTGAGGGCAGTTCCTGCATAGTGTAGTGCTGTGTGAATGTTCACCTTGCAGTCAAATGCTCTACCACCTGAGTGTTCACTTTGGTTTTTTGTTTTTTGGGGGGGTTTTTTGACACGGAATTTTGCTCTTGTTGCCCAGGATCGAGTGCAATGGCGGAATCTCGGCTCACCGCAACCTCTGCTTCCCAGGTTCAGGCAATTCTCCTGCCCCAGCCTCCCTAGTAGCTGGGACTACAGGGCCTGCCACCATGCCCAGCTAATTTTTGTGTTTTTAGTTTCACCATGTTGGTCAGGCTGGTTTTGAACTCCTGATCTCAGGTGATCCACCTGCTTCTGCCTCCTGAAGTGTTGGGATTACAGACGTCAGCCACTGCACCCAGCCGTATAATGTCATCTTAAGGAATTGTGTCTGCAAAGACCCTATTTCCAAATAAGGTTCAATCTTGAGGTTCTGGGTTGACATGAGTTTTATGGGGGACCCCATTCA